TCATGCCTTCCTCAAGAATGGTTTATCCGGGCCATGGACCAATGTCACCTCAATCTCCTGTTTTTCCTGCATGTGAAGCAAACAACAACACTATACCCAGTCCTGGTTTAGGTGTACGACAGATACAGTCACAGTTTGCCTCTCTGAATGCCGCCAGTGCCATTCCCCAAAGTGAGAATGTATTCGAATTTTACGAGCCACCTCAACATCATGGAAATGAACCAAAAGATGAATCAAAAGCAAGAAAAATCAAGTTCAAGGGCGGCAAATTTATTGGTACTGAAACGATCTACCAATGCACTATATGCTACAAGGAGTTCGATCTAAACGTTTCTCTGAGAAATCACGAAAGAAGCCACCGGACTGACAAGGATCATCACTGTCGATTCTGCGACGATGTGTTTCACTTCAAAGCTCACTTGAGGAGCCATGAGCGTAATCACGCAAAACAGCTGCGCATTTGTCGTTTTTGTGGCGTCACGCTTGAATGTGATTACGACCTTGTCCAGCATGAACGAAAACATAGAGAAAATAAAGACGAGATGCTGAGTATCTATGCAAAGTCGAATAAGAAGAAGAAGAAGAAAAAGAAAGCGGAAGGAAATGACCCGCCATCAAATCATGACGAAAATAATCAAGAGTCATAATAAGCAAGAGGATTGTTTTCCTGTCTATGTATGAATGTTCTAGAAACAATGATGACTCTGATAACGCACTACATTTCCATTTTAAGGAAAAACTGTCACTGTGCTTTAAAATGTGATTAACTACAGACTACAGTCGTCGAAAAAGCAATTACGTACATTATTTCCAACAAACGAGTCTCGATTATATCAGTTTATGGAGCTATGTTTCGGAGCAAAAACCCGAAGTTATGGATGGTCTGTTAAACAACCATAGACACCATTATTATTTATATCAATAGGGGGATAACCAACATGTAATTTCTAACTTCATATTGGACGTCCCAACCACCAAAGGTGTTTAAGTGCTACATCAGAAGTCTTCTTCAGTATAATTTGTCTTAAAATGTTCCACAAAACAATCAAATAATCATGTATTGTGTATCTAAGTTGACACATAAGCAAATGCGTATCTAATGGTTGGTAATATTTTGGGATTTTGAGCGGATGAGTTCGGAATGATGGGGTGGGGCGAAGTTTAATTATATTGTTTAGCCTGGGTGCGCTAATTCCTAGCTCCGCTCCTTCATTTGGCCAAGTAAAAAAGTAACGAATTTCTCTTCAGGAGGTAGCGCTTTACTATCAACTACTGTTACTATTTTTTAACTAGGGGGGGGGGGGGGGGTCATTGATTGGGGAAGGTTTGGATGGGTTCGTAACATCTTATCATGTTCCTTTCCTCCCCCGTCTTGCTCTCTCTCTCTCTCTCTCTCTCTCTCTCTCTCTCTCTCTCTCTCTCTCTCTTTCTCTCTCTCTCTCTCTCTCCTCCCCTTCCCCTCTCTCATCCACCCCTATACTCTTCCCCCTTCTCTCTCTCTTTCGCTTTGTCATTTCCAAGGAGACAATATAGCAGCTCTTAATGAGCACCTCTAAATTGTGATGATTTATAGACAGATTTTGAAGGATGAAAAGTCGTATATGATTCGAGCTCGAATTATAAACAAAAAGATACTGTCTGCCGATTTATAAGGACTTACGAATGACCCCCCCCCCCCCGTGTAATCGCAAATAGTATTGTGCTCTATGAATATCAATATTTGTCTCCTCCAAGAAGTAATATGCTTTTAGCAATATCAAGATGGAAATCATCCGTACATGTACCAGTGAATTCCACTTGTTTAATTTTTTTTCTCCTTCTTTTTTCTTTTCCTTTTTTTATTTGGTGGAGGGACAAACTGTAAATAGCACGTACTCTGTTCTGAACAACGTATCGCACTGAAATTTCATATTCGTATAATGTTATATCGTGTATACAATTTATATCAAGAATGCTAAACACTCAATCATAAAACCAGTACGGTATTTTTATTGCTCTTATATTTTTTATTAGAAAAGAATGACAAAAAAAAAAATTGATTGTTGAAAACAAACTAAACGCCTCATGTACATCTTTCTCACTTGATTATGTTTTGATATCTTATAACAGATCTGAAGGAGGTGGGGACAAAATCAACATTTAAACAAAAATATATATCTCTTAAAGGTAAAGACCAGTATTGGAAACGGGCCCAATTTCAAAAAATGAAATGGAAGCTCTCATTACCAATCATGTGAAAGAATATGTTTTGACTAATACATGATGATAAAAAATTTGCCGGGAAACCGCCTAATTCATATATTTGGTAAATTTGTTTCTCTCATGGTCTGTGAGAGATATAGGGTAGTCCCATATACATCTTTCTGTGTATAGTGCTTGTAACTTTACGAAGAATGGGCCAAATTTCTTATCATTTTGATGTTCCAGAACCTTGCAGATGCTAGATGCTATAGATGATCAACCTTTTCTGATCGATTCCACAACATTTCTTTCACAATGCAATCGCATGACCATAACTGGTCTTTACCTTTAAGTAATAATGTTCCTATTGTAGCAACGCATTATCGTTTTGGACCGGGTACCTTTTTGTCTTTGTCCGGAAGAGGTGGGGGGGGGGTGGGGTATCCCCCAAACTGCCAACAAGCAAATTTACTGATTCAAGAACGTTGTAAATGTATGTGACGTTTCTATCTTCTTATGATTCTTGAAATCAACGAAGATGAAATAGGTTATTCCATAAAACATAATGAAATATACATTAAAGCACAAACAAGGCTACCGGCATTTTTGGGGAAAAAATAACAGTTTTTTGTACGGGAAATATTGGGAATGTTTGTATCCTCATTGATAACTCGTAACAATTAAAATCAACGAGTTTTCAGCGAAATTTTTAAAGTGCCATAACCTTTCATTTCAATTAATTTTCACTTGGCCAAAAGCAAAACCAATCCAGCTCTTTAAAATGTTTTCATAGTTCGAAAGTAATGATTGTATTTTCTCCAAGTGTTATTGTCTCTAATTTATATCATCTAATTCCTATGTATTAACCAAAGGGCCCCTAACTGATTGTACTGTAGTACCCTGCAGTTTTGTATGTCTTTTAATGAATACGATACATGTGTATTTATTACTTTGGAGGTATTCTCCATTTTTCTTAATCATGATAATTATCATGATATTCTAGCTTCCTCGATATTCATAAAATAAAGTATAGATTATCACTAATTAGAGTAAATGGAATAATTGCAACCTGTATGCATGCAAACTGACCCCCTCCCTCTCTCGCTCCCATAAAAGTAAAAATGGTAAATCATATTGAACCCCATACAGTCTACTAATGTGAAAGCAGGTTATACATATGGTATAACCCTTCAAACACTAATCAAATACGCTACATAGACAATCAATGCTTTTAAATTATACATCTTTATTTCAGTTCAATGAAAATATACATATACAGGGATTAAAAAAAAAAAAAATCTGTTTCCTCATTTAGTGTAACTTTGAAGGAGGATACCCTTCTCTCATTCCTTGCATTGACTAAAGAAGCAATAATTTATCGCCTATTTCACTCTTAAACATTCATAAACACCCATAAAATAATACAACAAATATTATTCTGCAGTAGACAAGGTGATACTGGCCATTACTTTGGAAGGCACTGTTCATGAAGGTGTCATATCAATATATTCAATACAATATAAAACATATATTTTGCTATGAAAAATAAAATAATGAACGATCTGTTCCAAAATGTATAAATTAAATTTTATTTGGCTCGAATTCACAAAGAGGTTTTAATTTACACCATGGGTTACATAAACCTCCTTCATGAATCCAGGCCTCTGAATAAAAAGAAAATAAGGGAAAAAACAAAAAAATTGGGAAACCCATTTAAACCGTGTATAATCTAAACATGTAGGCTAGGACACATACATAATTGACTTTGCAATTAAATATCATTCCATATAAAATTTATATTCATATACGTATGCAATCTTAAGTTCTCTGTGAATAAAAAGTACCATGGACATAATCAATAACAACCTTTTCTTCAACTATCTTCAGTTTCCTCTGTTTCTTTCCAGTGTAGGAACTTTTAAAAGACTTTGATGGTAAGTAAAATAAAGAGTGTTTCAGTATTTTATCTAGACATAAGGTCACTTTTTTTTTAAATACTTCAAAGCCATATGTCACATACAATACTACAATACCCAATACAAAATGTAAAGTATTTATTTGTACCTACTTTTACAAACAAAATAATGGTTTAATGGTACAGCCTGTAAATGGTGTGACATTTAATCACTGAACAAGTAAATGGTCTACAACCTGTCTAAGCTCCCTACAGTCAGGGTTTGGTTTCAGGAAGTAATAAAGGTAATAAAATTAAAGATAATAATAACAGCTAAATTCCATCCCAGGGGATGCTCAAGATGCCTACAAGGTAGTAATATTACCCAGGCTTTAGCCCGGCTACCCTAAGGCGTTAAAAGCATTCTAGGAATAAATTCCTACCATGTACCCATTTACTACACACGGGTAGAGAGTGGCAAACATAGATCAATGTCTTTCCACAGGATATTAGTGCCCTGGGGAGACTCAAACACTACACCATGTGATCCACAGTAAAGAGGTGATCATTTTTAATACAAAAATTCCAGACAACTTTACATGCTTGATACAGCATTCACACAAATAATGGACGGATAAAGTTGATATACATGTACATCTGAATAAAAAAGTACTGCAGCTGCATACAGTTGACATATCCTTTTTAAAATCTAATATGAAAGACAATAAATATTCTTTTGAAGGTAATGACATATCAAAATACAGTATAGTATATTTGTTGGGTTTGTCAGTACAAGTGACAATTGAAAGTATGAATGATTAGAAAGATATACAAATTTCCTCAAACTGACTTCAAATTTTCAACTGAAAACGTGATATTATAAAGTATCAAAAACTTGTATTAATGTGCAGTGATTATTTTTTTAACGAAGTGGCTTTGAGCTTGAAAGACATACATATGGACCCATGCAATATTTAATTAGATGCATGAGTTTAATAACATTAAGATCATTGGAAAGAAACAAAAAGGTTACTTTTAGCATGATATTTAATACAAATTTAAACATATATCTATTGATGCATATCAGTCTCCGTCTCTGCTGTCTCTCTCTCTCTCTCTCTCTCTTCTTCTATCTTCTCTAATAATATGTCTCTGTCTGTCACTCTCTTCTCCCTCACTACATCTCTCTTTTCAGGTTTTTACCTTCTTCCATCTTTTACTTCCTCTCATTCATTCCTTTATAATCTCTATATCTCTCTCTCTCTCTCTGACCTACCCTCCCTCTCTCCTACTACATGTCACATACATTGTATTATGAAAACATATACCTTCATCTTTGAAATGATATTTTCTTCCAGCTATAGAATGTCTTTGTTTTTCATTTCTAGGTAAACTGTTAATCAATCTACCAACAAATACAAGATCTATAACATAACAATATCTTTAAATCTCTACACCATGTGTCTACCTTATACTTATCATGAATAAAATAAATGTAATGCACAGGAATAAATTACAAAAAGTTACAGACTCTGCTTCATATTCTAATTTCGTATCCTCCACCTGTTAACCTCTTCTCAACTACTGGTCCATCATCATCACTTCCATCAGCTCCTGCTTGCGTTGCCCTGACAACGATAGGAGACGATGATCTATTAACCCTAGGAGTGCTGCTAGGAACAGGATTCCTTCGAGGTGAGTTGTAGGGGTTGGTCTCCTGGACAAACTGATAGCTAGACTGTCCAGAGCGACTTGACTTGTACTGTAAATACAAAATATAGATGTGTGAAGGACGGACTGACACCATAATAATAATACAAATAATAATAATAATAATAGTAATAATAATAACAACATTTATAATGTGCACATATCCACCCCAAGAGATGCTCAAGGCGCCATACATGAATTGATTGACTAGTGGTATATTGGTTGATTGATTAATTAATAATCAAGTATGGCTGGCAACTCATTCCATTATCCAAATGCATTTCTTAAGAGCAAAATATAAAACCAGGTATTTTACAAATTTTACAACACCCTGTACATGAAATTAAACCAAGCTTGAATTTCAAGACAAGACTTAAATTCATGGCAATGTTACAATATCCATCAAAATGGCATCAAAATCCATCACAATCTAAGAATTCAATTGTTGTACGTCTTTCATATAAGAATATCGGGTGTATAATCTAATTTCATTTCTGCACGATTGATATTGTCCATTGACAAAAATGTAACACAAAATACTGAGTGATAACTTACACATGCTCTCATATCTTTGGCATATTTGTCAATCTCCTTGCTTGCTTCAGAATGGCTCATCTTCCACATATTCAGAGAGAGATGCTACAATGTAGAAAGAAAAGAAACAATGATCATCTCAGAAAATTAACCAAACCTAAAGATAGAGTGACTACATGATTAACATATAACCAATGAATCCAAAGCTAGACCATGTGTTAAACATAAAACTCAGATCATTTCCTTCAAGTCTGTGGAGGAGGGGTATCTTTTGTCGACACAAATTAAGCTAAAAATTGAGAGACAGCAATGATATCTCAGCTTTAGGCAATATCATTTTGAAGAAAAACATTGATTGTTATACTGTATCTCTAGCATAAAGAAGAAGCAATAGGGCAAGTATCAAAGAGAATAGGAAAATTAAGAGGAATAAAAGTAAGAAGAAAAGGAAGAAGAGGAAGAAGAATTAAGAAGAAGAAAACTGAGATTAAAGTAAAACACTTACCCGCCAATGTATCTGTTCAAAGCTATGTGGATCATGTGCTATTGGTAATCCAACCTTCAATTTCTTCACTACATGCCAATCTGGGGATGGAAATTGAAATAATGATTGATATCAATAATATATTTTGTAGATGATTTTTCTTCTAAATCAAGATGTATTCAAATGATGAGATAGGACTACAACGATATACATGTACGACAATTACACACGGCAGAAATGTAGATTCTTTGTATCACATATGTTAACTTATGTTTAATTTAGATGGCATAAACACATTTCATAATATTTTGTTCTTATTTATATGGCAAAACTCCAATAAACCACTTAAATACCTGGTACATTGGTTTAAGAAGGCACATATAGTATTTGCAGCTTCTGCATTAATTTTTTTAACAATATTAATGTTACCATTGAATGTGATACAAAAGAACTAAGTGATTGATTCATCATCAAAGAAATTATAATACATATAAGCGTGTAATATGGATGATACTTACATTTCTTATACGCATCTTGATAGCTGAATATCAGCTCAGATAATGACTATTTAAAAGAGGAGAAAAAAATTGTTTCATTAATTATTAAGCAACATCAGAATTTGCAATAGCTGTGAATTCATTCGATCATTCTGATAGCATTCAAAAGAACACATTTAATGTCTTTGATTTGAAGAAAAAAATTGCCCCATAGAATTCTCTGCAATTTACTATGTATTCAATCTTAGCCATACCAACAACTTAATTTAATACAACTCAAGAATGACACTTATCCATTTGAGAAGTCAATTACAAAATAAATTTTAAAAACTGAAAAAAGGAGGAAAAATAAAAAGAGAAATCAGGAAAAAGGCAAACGCAGAGAGAAAGAGAGGTCACACACAAAAGATGAAGAGGGACAGCAAAAAAAAAGATAGGAAGATGAAGAGGAGAAATAAAGATAGGGGTCAGGGAGGAAGAGAGTTAATAGGGTAAGGAATGAAGAGGAAGAGAAAGAGAGATGAAAATAGAGATATAAAATACCTTGAATTCTAGAGGTTTATCCATGAGATCGTCTCTCCTGCTCATACCAAGAGCACCATACCGTGAGTTGTGAACCAAACCAAGTACCACATGTCGGTGAATGTTACCATGAAATTGAGTCTTAAAGCTGATCGGAAACCGCTCTAATCCCGGGGTACCATTGGTCAAATAACTGATACACACATGGATTTGTTAAGGAAAGAAATCAGTGTTATCATCAAACAAGCATGCCTTTTCATCCATCAAATCTTCCATTTAGGTTTTTAAAAAATTTACATCAATGAGAATAGATCTTTTATTTATGAACTAATATATTGCTTCTTTGCAAAGCCAGGATGTTTTGTATTGGACAAGTCTTCAATAATGCACATTTCCAAAAGATAATACATACATGTACAAAAGGATTTGTTCGGAATAGCACGCTTGTTCTAGAGATATTAGCAATTTCCCCAAAAGATTACAGAAAATATACTAAAACATTGTATACAAACACCTATAAGCATGTTACTAGTTTGTTATTTTGGTTACAAAAGGGTCCTTTTCTTAATGAACTTTGAAAATGTTAATAGAACTGCCTTTGAATGGTCTTTATAATATATGCAGGTTTCACTAAATATGCTATAGCATCATGGTAGAGAAAGGATACATTCCTAGAATGACTGCTTCAAGACACTTGATGGGAAGTGACTCCCTGATCATTTCTTTGGCAGAATCCATTAACCTGCAAGAAAGAAAAAACAGAGTAAGATGTACACAATCGGATTTCTTTTCAATTGATTCAACCTCAAATCTTAATCCAAACTGTTTGGATGAATATTATCAACCTATAAACCAAGAAAATGTTCTCTACATTTTCACTGTTTCTAAAAGATTTAACAATGTAGGAACAGAATCCTAGTGATACTAAGATAATTCTATTTAGAAATGAAAGCATACATTTGAGAATACTCTTACATTGAATACAGACAGAAATTTCTAAAAATCATTAATGTTTTCTTCATCATAGTTACTAATCATTATGTTTAAAGATTGATGCCACACATATATTTTTTCATATAGTTATAACTCACAACTTTGTGTTTCTATTTTGTGTTTCTATTTTGGCTTCTTGTTGGTCTTTTTAAATGTTTATCTCATGGCTGAATAGGATTTTGATCACAAAACCAGACCAATTGAACACTTAGTCCTGTAACATCATGTACCTACACAGAACATACTTACCCAGATAGTGGCCTGTTCTTTTTTATCTCATAAAACTGCATACCAGTATGGTTGTATCTGAGTAAATATATACAGTTAAGGTTATAAGCAAAATTATATGATTTTTTTAGCATTAAAGAAACAAAGAAACAAAGCCATATTGCTCCTTACATTTATTAATATTATTATCAACAACATATACCACACAACATAAATCTTATAAGGATATCTATTGATTTGATATAGTTCAAGTCATAAATGCAAAGTAGAAAATCTACCTTGGTACTTAAAAGCATCATAATTATTTGTTGTGAATAGAACTACGATAGTTCCATATTTTGATGAATATTTCAATTTTATTATACAGAAGGATACTGCAATTCTTTCATATAGTCCTGGATAGCTTCTAATCTTGCTCCAACAGACTGGTAAAGGTGCACAGCAGGAGCCGAAGGGACTGGAACCTACAGCACAAATGAGAAGAACAATCGTATAAATAGCTTCTTACATAATATCATTACACATGACGGTTGGCACCATCAAATCCCTCAAGGAAAGACTCAAATATTCAAAAATCAAAGATGTCTCAATCAGACAGATTTTGTCTTTCTTTCCCAGATATGTCAGAACGGGAAACGAAAATAAACCTAAGTTTCACTAGTGCCTAGTGAATGCAAACTTGGACCGAAGTTTCTGTCCCTTTCGTTCATTAGCCTCTGATTTGGGTAGGGTCGTCTCATCTCTATTTGGCTACCCAAATCAGAGGCTAACGAATGAAAGAGACAGAAACTTCGGTCTAATGCAAACTGAACTCTGATTTTAAAATTTTGATTTGTAAATTGTAATGACAAATTAGAATTCTGTACCAAAAAAGCACATGCTGACTGCATTGCATAATCACACCATAGTGTAATAGTAATAATAGTATTCTATCTAATTCTACTTCAGTCTCCGACTTTAGTCAGTGAAACGAGTTCAAGTTTGGTATAAAAATTAAGAGTCTGAAGTTGATGTTATTCATTATATGCTATTTCTGTTTCATACCCAGATGAGGGACTGAAGGTTTTAATCTGATGAGTATTGAGTACATGTAATGTAATGAAGGATTATTGGCGCTTGTTCCGAAGCTAACTTCACACAGCACAGCTGATGTGCACGCTCGCAACCCACAATCTGTATGCACTTGTATTATGCAGCTGTTTGCTGTGAAACCTGTGAAAAAGTGTATAGTATAACGTTATTCCGAAAAATACTCCAAAAATAAAAAGAAAATTGACACGAAAAAGGATAAACATAATGACTTTTAACTCATGATCTTTATTTGGACATTTAATGAATATTTACTTCATTTTTGGTATGTTTTAGTAGGGTATCTTCACGCCGGAGTTACAGGTCAAATTTTGGATAGGCTTCTGAACAAGCGCCGGATTATCGTCCAACTTAAGTTCTCATTAATTATTTCAAACTTTTTTTTAAGCTGTCCGAAATTAAAAATGTAAGTTGCAACACCTCACCTTAGGTAAGTTTTTACTCCCTTGAATTTTGTCGACCATCTTTTCTCTATCTGGATGAATCCTCGCACAGTGATTAAACATTTTCTCGCATGTTTGGTGGGTCATGGGAAAGCCGTCTTTATTGACATAAAATAGAACTCCCCCGGTCGCGGCGGCCGCGGTGCCGTTTTCATTCTCCTCATCGTCGCTCTTGTCTCCAGCACCGGGCGTTGATTTAGAAGTCATAATTCTCTATTATTACGATAAAGTGGCTGTATTCATATTGTATCCGAGAGAGTACTGACTACTACTGGATTCCATCTGATTGCTTGCAAAGCTTTCACAGGGTGATAAGCTTGAGATATTGTGGGATTTATCCGTGATAATGCGATAACTAGCTGTATGCAGTCGAGTGTTGTTTACATGTCGTTACGAGAAACCAACCGTGGCGAGACTTCACTACACACGAGATTATCAAACGATGTTGTTGTTGTTCGTTTGGTATTATAATGGCTATTAGTCAAATTTGACTATTGTTGCCAATTTCATCGCATCTCTTTCTTTTAATGTCTTGGTAAAATTATTATTTCTTTCTTTCTTTTTCCAATCTCATTGATAGTCTATGGTGTAGTCAAAAGAAAAAAAGGGAAAAAACAGGCAACAGTTTTATTCATCGCTTATAGTGGACAATTATACTTCCATGGTAATACTCATCATCACGCTGGTAGTTTCCACAAATAAAAAGGGGTTTATAACATGCATAACTATGCTTATGCCCAGAGGCGGCGGAGCGACTTCAAAAGTGGGGAGGCCGAGGGGAGGGGGGGGGGGGGGGGGGGGGGGGGGGGGGGGGGGGAGCACCTGGAGAAAAAGGTCACCTTCAAAGGGAAATCTTCAAGCGAAAATATACCAGTTTTTAGATACATACCCCTATATGATTATCAGGGATGATTTTAATATTTGTTTCTCTTTATAAATCATATTAAGCATCATACTTCGCAGTTAGGTGTGATGGTCTGAAAATTAATTTGCGAGTGAGCAAAGCGAGCGAGGAAAATTTCTAAGAGTTATGAGGTCGTAGTGCGAAAAATTTACACCTTATAAAGAGGAAAAACCCAATCCTGATGGGGTTAAGCACATTTTCATAACAGTAGACTGAAAAGGCCTTCGATAGTTAATATCATTATAAAATCGCGAGCGAGCTTTGCATGGGGAAAATTGCTCTTAGTCGCTTGAAATTATGGGCACGTTTAATGAGAGGAAAAGGGGACACTTTTTGAAAGGGATAAGACACTCACTGATTAGAAAAGAAAAGGACCAATGACGTGTCAAAGTACAAAGGCTAATTATCAAAGGTAAAAATGGGGCACTATTTCACCTAAAAAGAGAGGCACTCGATCACTAGGGATTTTTAAAAAAAAGGCACTTATGAGAATTGTCGACGGAAAAGAGGCACCCTTCAGATTTTGATAGGGGCATTTTATTAGAAGTGAAAAGGGGCATTTATGAAAAAGGATAGGTTCCTTATTAGAAAGGAAAAGAGGCACGTATCATTGCTAAGAGGTTAATCATCAGAGGTGAAAAGGGAAACTTATCGCATCTGAAAAGGGCCACTGACCATATATGAAAGAGACACTTATGAGAATGAAAAAGGGGCACTAATAATAAAGGGAAAGTTAAAAAGTTATCCGGGTTAAAAATGGGTAATTATTAAAAGCTCTTCTTACAAAAGAAGAGGGGCACTCGTCAAAGCAAAGGGGGCACCTCTTAGATTTGAATAGGGCAATTATCAGAGGTGAAGGGGGCGCTTATCAAAAGTGAAAAGGGGCGCTTCTCGTTCCTGAAAAGGGGCACTTACTAGAGGTGGAAAGGGGAAGGGTCACTTAAACAAATTAATAGGGGCACTTTTCCTATATACAAAAGGGCACTTTTGGGGTACTTGAAAAAGAGGGGGATCTGCCTCCCCCTCCCCCTCCTGCATGGCCGTACAGAGGATTATGGTACAAGGCATGGACACACAGAATTTTTGGTCGCTGTTTGGGACCGGGGGGAATTCAATGAATTATTGATAATTTATTGCATTTCTTTTGTTTTCTTTTATTTGTGGGAACAGCCCCCTACCCTACCCTACCCTAGCCCCCGCTGATATTTCCTAAAACATTTTCATTTTTGGATAAAGATTATTATGTCACAAATTATTTTTGTTTTATTGAAAAGCTGATGTAGGCCTATGTCACTGGCGTACTGGTTGGTTCAACCCCCCAATAAAATCCAATCATGAATTATTTTCAATTTCATACAAGTGATTTATAAATGTTCGTGATATCACATGATTTTCAACAAAATTTGCGTTTCTCCATTTCTGTTGCAAACTGACACATTCCCAAATAGCCAGGAAAAGCATTTTGTATAGTCACTAATGGGCCAAATTAGTGGCCGTTAACACTAACAGTATAGTATACAATTCCTTTCCAGAAGCTATTGCGACAAGCACTGCCGGGAGATAACATGCTACCCACCACTGTCTTGGGCTGTGCATGCAAATATTTGCGAACGAACGTTCAATACATACATCATGTGAGAAAACGAATCGTCTTCTTTCTCTAATAATTTAGTGAAACGTCAAAGATTCCGCGCTTTGCGCGGGAGGTGGGCAACTGAATTCAGACTAGGATTGAGAGTTATAATTAAATGAAACGTCTAAGTACACGATACAACGTATCATCTTCTCTTTCTAAAAATTTAATGAAACGTGAAAGCTTCCGCGCTACGCGCGGGATGGGTGAAAATGATTTCGGACGAGAATTAAGAGTAATAATCAAATGAAACGTCAAAACTTCCGCGCTTCGCGCGTGAGGGGGAAAAATGAATTCAGACAAGGATACGATGCAATAAATCGTCTTCTTTCTCTAATAATTTAATGAAACGGCGCTGGATGGGCAAAAATGAATACAGAAAAGGATTAAGAGTAATAAATCATTGAAACGTAAAAGCTTCCGCGCTTCGCGCGAGAGGGGGAAACTAAATTCAGACAAGGATTAAGAGTCGAGAATGGCACATCGAATCGTCTTCTTTCTTTAATAATCTAACGTAACGTCAGAGCTTCCGCGCTACGTGCGGAGGAAGGGGGACTTGATTCAAACATGAAGGAATAAGAGTCGAGAAGGGTATATCGAATCGTCTTCTTTCTCTAATAATTTAATGAAACGTCAAAGCTTCCGCCCTCCCTGCACCCAATCCCCTAAGGAGCGCGCTTCGGTTGCTTACTACCGCCCCCTAAAATTAAATCCTGGCTACGCGCTTGGGGAGGGGTGCAACCTGCCACACGCTTCTACCCCTTTGTTGCTTTGATCCATTGCCGAAAATATTTTGGCAACTATCATCCCCCCAACCACAGATACAAATCGACACCCTTGCCCTCCCCCAACCAATCGCCCGCTCGGAGCCCCCCGGCGCACTTGGTACCACATAATAATGCATTGAAGAATGTTATAACAGAGAAGAAAAAAAAGCACGATTGAATGATTGTATTACCCGATTGCATGGCCCATCAACTGGTTACAACGAAGTTAAAGATACAAAACAGCTGTAATGTTGTGACTGGATAAGACAAGTCAATCAGTGTGACACAAACTCATTTACAATGCTATTTATTGAATAGAATAACGAATTCGAGTAACATAACAAAAAACAAAAGAATATAGCGGGAAATAAATACGGGATCTGTATAATCGAAATGCATTACATGATTACCCGAGCCGATTTGTTTGTTGAAAATACAACATTATACAATGAAAATAAAGTATTTGTTAGAGATGCCATGCAGGTGCAACTATACAACCTATTTTGCTTTATGGATCAGAAATTTTGGATGCTAGTGCAATAGACATGAAGAAAATTCTTCAAATAGAAACAGGGAAAACAGGACTTTATTTTAAAAACAATTTTGAGAAAGTACACATTCTGTGATGTAAAAATTTGGTAGTTTCAGCCGAAATTGGAAGGCATCCTCAACTAATTCAAGTTGCAATACACATACTCAAATATTGGATACGAATACGAAGTTTGGATGAAAATGACCTTGTCTATAAATCCTTTGAAGAAAACAAAAAATTAGTAAACAACGAACAAAGCTGTTGGCTAATGTCAATTCGGGATATCTTTAGTTCACCAAATATTTGTAATAATGGAAATGAGACCGTATGGACCCTGAAAATATACCAATTTCTCAAAAAGATTTTGTCGAGCTATGTAAAATTTGTATGGAAAGAAGAATTGATGAACAATTAAAACTGGATTTTTTTTTAATGATAGGGATACCCATAAAAAAAATAAAAACAGAACCTTAAGACAATTTAAAAATACAATCAAGCAAGACAAGTATTTATCTCATGTACCAAAAATAAATTTAAGAAAAAATATCACAAAACTACGACTGAGCGCACACAACTTACACAAAGAAACGGGAAGATATAAAACACCAGAAAAAACGCCCCAGAATCTACGATTCTGTGAAGACTGAAATATGGATCTTGTAGGAGATGAATTCCATATAATTATGAAATATGACAAATATAAAGATTTACGAGTAGATTTTATTGACAATTTTAGCAATTTGGAAGAAAATTTTAGTAGCATGGAATGTCAAGAAAAAGCCATATTCATAATGAGATTAGGCAATAAAAATGTAATAGATATTTTCTCCTCGTTCACCAAAAACATAGTTACAGTGAGGGGTAACTTTTAGATAATATGTAATAACAAAGTAAAAATGTTCAACCTTATGTTTTGGGGTTTAATTTTGCAGTAGGTCGCATATAATATGTATAAATACTATCACTTCATTTATTTAGGCATTTCATGTACTTCATATACCTATTTCGTATAATGAAAATTGCTATATTAGGTTTTACCTATCGAAATCTTCGGATGTATGGTACATTATGGTACATTATATTTACTTTAGGGATTCATGTTATTACGAGAAGAAAAGAAACTGTTTCTGCTGTATATGATTTTCCTTCTGTTTTGCTATATACACTGCATTGTAAATTGATTTATATGATATATGTTTACAAACAGAATATTGATTCGTTACATTGCAGTCTAAATTAATTTATATGATATATATGTTTACAAACATAATATTGATTTCACTTAGTTGTTACATTGCATTGTAAATTGATTCATAATGTTTACAAACAGAATATTGATTGGTTGAATTGCATTACAAATTGATTTATGTTTATAAACAGAATATTGATATATATCATTGAAGTTTAATAAAATACGATACAATACATGTCTATACCATGCATGTTGTTTGGCTTCCGTTGAGTGGCATCCTTTATATTACTCATTCGATCTCGTAGAATGATGTGATTGATACTTATTCGTTTACAGAAGAAGAAATACCTTAAAGAAATGGACTGATTTTCTTTCTTTTTTAAAAATAGAT